CCATAGAGAAAATGTAGATCTTCGATTCCAACTCCATTAGCAAAAGGGAGTTTGCAAGGATTGCAGTAACACTTGATAGGCGGAACACATGCTTTGCCAGATTGATGTGACGCACTCTCGGAGGTGGTGAGTCCGTAGTGCCCACTTCCACATATCTGGCGTGTACACATCTTGCTCTCCCGCTGAAATCCAGGGAAACCCTAAACCACAAGAGCAACATTGATTAGTTTCACCTAAGCATCGATGTACCTGAAATTGAATCTGCTTATATTAGAAGGACTTGGGTACGTCGCAGAACCCTCTTCTTTCGAGCTGCAGCTCAGCGATGATACGCCGTCCATTTCCGCAGGAGTCAGCCCAGGCATGGGCCACAAAGCCTGGAAACCGGAAAGCACCGAATGGAGACTCGATGCAGCATCTCTTGTCGCCTTTTACATCTTGCTTAAGGCTTAAGGCTTAAGGGCCTTCGAAACTGCTGCACTGGCCACAAACTGCTTGAGAGGACGGCTTGTGACTTGCGATGATGTAAAGTTGCAAAGGCTCCGCGATCTGCCCGTACACTTCCTTCATGATATGACGAATGCGGAAAGAATTGGCTTACTTCGAAAGGCTTCACCAGACAGCGTTCCGTGACGAAAGCCTCGGCATAATTTCAAATGATAGTCCACGCTTAGATACCAGTGCGGCGCAGCTGGCCTTCGGGCCACTGGCCGCCCTTGTACGCGAGGCAGGCTGCGATGTGGCGTGCCCCGAAATCCTCTCACAGCCAAGCTGAGCCTCTGCCGAACTGCGTACCCGGAGACAGTGTCCTCGGCCCCAAGCCTTCGAAGGAGGCGCTCCTGTGGCAGCTGTGCAACCAGCACCCACAAAAGCAAACCTGTGGCTGACGATGCATAGCACATAGCAGATGTGGGTGCGCCATATCATCGTTCCTCTGAAAAGCTGCGCAGCACAACATCACCAGCCTACCCGCCACACTGCGACTCAGCATTGCCAGTACTACTGGTACAAATGACAAAACTGACCACGTACTCTCAACTGGACAGGCTATTACATGCACATCGCATAGTTGGAGAGGGTGGTACATACGAATACGGATGTATGCATGCATGCATGTATGTATGTGTGGTTATGCAGTTATGCATGTATGTATGTATGTCTGTATGTATGTATGTATGTAGGTATGTATGTATGTATGTATGCAATTGTATGCATGCATGCATGGATGTATATATGTATGCATGTAAGCATGTAAGCATGTAAGTATGTACGTGTGTATGTATGCACCTATGCATGTATCTATGTATGTACCTACTGTTGCCCATAAATTTCAACATATGTATGCAATGTAGGTAGGTACAGAGTATGTACGTATGTATATATCATGCATGTACCATGTATGTATGTATAGACGACTCGAGCACCGGGTCCAAATCACTTCTGTGCCGCCCTTTCGTCCACACATGGTTTGAAACCGTACTATGCACACATGTTCACCCTATTCATGCTGCTGAAGAATTAGGTCAGCACGGCTGCATTCTGAACTGTAGGCTCTGTTGCACTACGTAGCTCAGTTCCGCGTTGGATGTGGAGTTTCGAAAGTGGTTCATAAGCAAGCAGCACTGGAAGTGCACCATCATTCAAGCTCTTGTTCGCGAATTCTCATTCTCCTGGGTGTTCGCTGCTGATTCCGGGCGGTCTTGACATTTGTATGCCAGTGCATCCTGCGCTCATGAAATGTCATGGACCTGGCACTGGGAGATGCGTGACAATCAAGCCGTGCATACGCAGTTGAATCCTGCGATTGTGCTTCATGCAGGTATTAGTGTCAGTCCAGGGTCAGTGTCTTTCCTCACCTAATAGCTTCTACGAGCTCAAGTCAAATCAAGAGACGCATTTCAACAGTTGCGCCTGGGTTCGCACAACTGAAAGAAGCAGGTTCCGTTGACACGCCTAAACCTAAAGCGCACTCATTCCCACAGCGCACCATCACTGTTGCGCAATTTGAGTCGGCGTTGCTGTTGACATCTGTTGACGCTAACACAGTATGCACCTGGCGATGCCAATCCGTTAAACTGTTCAACGTTGTTCTGCCGGTCTCGTCACAAGGCTTGGCACACAGAATGTTCAATGCGAAAAAACATGCCGTCGCCGTCCCTGCAACTATTTACTTGGTTCAAGCTGGCGCGTGCTAGAACTTAACAGCCGAGGCATGGCGAGCGTCTAAAGCACATCCTTGAGACTCCTGTGCCTCTTCAATCCACACGTCTTTGGTAACCCTCATTTCATCTGTTCAGAAAAAAGGAAGCCCAAGGCCTCGCTGGAGTCGCTGGACTCGCACAGGGACTTCTTGCAGCTGAGGCTTCTTAGTCCATTTTGGCGGTGACAGAATCGACGGAGCTTGGTGGAAAACACCCAAGAAAGTAATTCCATTGCCAAAATGTGCCCATTCAGGCAAAAGGGGCATTAGTGCGGCTGGGAAGAGGTCGGAGGCACGGCGTAAAGCACCGAGGCCGCGCAGAAGAACCTCTCGCTGGTTTGAAACTCCCTACAAGTTGGCTTCTTGTCAGGATCGAGGCTCAGACTGGGGACTCTCTTGGTCTTTGTGTCGGGTTCAGCTGGGCCAGGCTTTTGAATGTCGATGCCGCGAGGTTTCAGCAGTTTCATCGGTGGAAGGCCCAATCCTGCGTTTGCCCGAAATCACAACCTCGGCCAGGCCTCACAGGGTCTGCGGAAATCCCCTGTCGAGGTCTGCACGCCTAGGTCAACTCCAAGCATTCTCACAGACAGAAGCACCCAGAATCCTGGGGGGTCTAGCAGCTCTGAACAGATGCGGGCTTGAAGAGGTGTGCCCACGCTCCCTGACATTACACGGAAAGCTTAGCCCAGAGCATGAGACGTCCGAGAGCTGCTCCTCGACTTCCGTGCGCTGATACATCTTGCGCCCCCGACATCCGGAAGACCCAGGCCACCCATGCCAATCAATGCAGCTTCATACAAAGCACTTCATTGACTCGCATCTCATCGTCTCTCGTGCACGCAAGCAATGCAAAGCTCAACCAAGGAGCCAGGATGCCCTCTCTGGAAACTCTCCAAAAAGGATCTGCCACAGGTTCACCTTCATGCTTGCAGTTCCTGCTAGCTACACTGCTACGCAAGACTTCCGTCACCAGCTCCACATATTTGCGTCAGAGTGATCTTTTGAAAGCCATATGCCACGGAGAGGCCCAGTAGCGTCAATGCTCGGCGCGAGATTTCAGGGGAAGCTTGGCAGGCTCTGGCAAAGGCCTGTCACTGCTTCGCAGGTGCGCAATGCTTCGATCCACCTGCACCGCATGAGAGGCCTGGGGAAGGGCGTCACGAACGACTTGGTTCGGCAGAGAGCCGCGGTGCAAGTCACCTCACTGCCCCCAGAACCACCAAACTGCGCTTGCTGGCGTCCGTGCAGCTAGAGTTGCTCAAGTTGAACCACGGCACTGCGATTTGCCACCAAGTCGAAGCAGTCGCAATGGAGAGCAAACCCGAATCCGACCATTCCTTCGGCAAACACATCAGTCAGCAAGCGTGGGCGCACTTCCAGCCCCAACCCTCCAAAGAAGACCTGCTGGGCTACTGGTGGGCAACATGAAGAGTTCGGGGATGTCGCGGTTGCTTTGACAAATCTCGGACACTAACCACTATACACAGCATATCAGCATATGCGACATGCAAACTTATTCACTGACTACCTCTAACATCTCTTGCTTAAGCAGAATCGTGACAGAGAGCTCCAACGACGAATCTTGGAAAGGGTTCTTACATGTCCTGTCAGCTGAGCCACGGATGGGTAAGGAACAGAACAGGGGCTCGCAGCGACTGCATGTCTCTGCCTCGTCCAGCACCTGACTCTGTAGCTGATCTTCAGGATGCCTTCTGCAGTTCTTTCGCCGCCACACGTGAATCTCCAAACTCAGTGCTCCACCGGAAATGCTAGCACAATCTCTGCATTCATGCTTTGCAAAGATCCTCAGATCTCAGCCCGAACGTACTTGCGAAAGCACACGCCGCATTGCAGGATGCTGCAGCCGACTTCTGCCAACTTGGAGTCTAAGCATCCAGATGCGACAGGGGCAAGGTGGCGGTATACTAGATATCTGTGTTCTTGGTGCACTTCTTGCGCAGGCTCGTGCTGCTCAATGACGACCTTAGACTGAGACTGGAACACACCGGCACGCGCTGCTGCGGAGACCTGTGCATCGCGGACTCAGTGCCCCGGCGGAGCAGGATCTGACTTCCATCGGCTCAGGGATCCTGATCGCGCGCGACATACAGCGACAGCACATGGGCTCGGCGAACTTCGAATGCGGGGAGCATCTCGCTGGCTGATCGGTCGCCACTGCGGAGGAGCCTCACAAAAGCAGTGAGAAACTCGGGAGAAGCTTCGTCCGGACGTTCCACCGAAGTAATGTACCGAGTCTGGAAGTCCCAGAACGTCCCCCTTGCCTGGGGGTGGAAGCCGCTTGGCCAAGAAGTTCCTCAAGCACTCGCAGGCACCACAGACCGGGCATTTATGTTCCCAACCTTCCGACTAGTACTGGTACCGTCTCAATTCTTGTCAGGCGTCAATGCGCCGCAGCCGCCGAAGAAAAAGCAACGAAGCCCGGCCCTGTGACGCCAGCTCGTCCATCTCCTGAATCGCAGGACTGCAGAGGATCTTTGGGAGAGCTATCCACACCACACAGCACTGCTGCACAGCCGAAGGATGCGAAAAAAAATCGAAGATGGGTGCAGAAGTGCACCGGGCAGCTCTAGCGGCCCGAATGCCCAATCCCGCAGAGCCTGGCTGATGGCCGACGCGAGCCCAGCACTTCGAAGAGGAAGGAACAGCACCTTGTGGTCAAGGAGGAGGCTGAGACTGAGATGAAACTGGAACGGGAAAATAGGCGAAGCATAAACCCAGCCACTGCTGGGAAAGCCTTGCGACATATCAGTTCCGCGTGGTTGCATGTTTTGTTTAACGTATCCGTCAATCGGAACAGCACGCAGCCGCATGAATTTGGTGGACTCCTCCGGCGGTGCGAGATCACGATCCGAGCATGTAAGGCCTTACGAGGCGCCGTTTTCCCTTGAGCATGTCCACGTTGCACTTCCGCTGGTAAAGTCGCAAGCTCTGAGCTCGTAAGCCTTGCCGGGGGTCGAGCAGACGTGGCAAGCTGTCTGGACAGGTGTGGACAAGTTCCCACATACTGACATGAGCTCCACATGTCCTCCGGCAACCCAGGGCTGGTGCGCTGCTAAATTCAATCTAGGTAGCCAGGTCGGCGTCACATAGCCTCGGCCCGATGGCACTGGAGTTGCTGGAAAATTCAGGATAGGCAGACATCCCTTTGGACCCCTATGGCTCCAGGTAATCATCCCCGTCATCCGAAGCCTCAAATATCCACATATGTTGCTCAGCCCACGACCTAGCTTTCCCAGGCGCCCCTGCACATCAAAGACGAAGGTGAAGCCTCAGCCGGCAATATGTCCACATTGGCGAGCGTTGCTGGAAAGACGATTCTTCAACATTCTTCATGTGCTTAGGCGCTTCCGGCAGGTGTGTTCCAACCTTCCTCTCTGCGGCTTGGGCACCCTTGGACAAAACGTGGGCGCGATCACTGACAGTAAAGACCGACTTGAAGCCGATGCCTTTGCCTTGGCTTGCCGGGCTTGCCAGGCTCCCAACGCTCCGACCAAGTAGTTCTGTCAAGCTGCAACCGATAGATCCACCGGCGGCTCCCGGCAAGGGCTTCTTTTTCGATGAGGCAGAGATGTCGCAGAGAGCCGTGACATCTCCTTGAACGTTGGAGCAAAGACGTGGGCTCGCTCAGCGCCAAATTTCTCCCTTCAGACGAGCCACGCTCAGTGAAACCTGCCTCGTTGTTCTCCTCAGAGCTCTGCCAAGGTTTCTCAACACCGGGTTTGGGAGGCATGGCCTTCTAACCTTAGAGCCCAGGCTCGCTGATGAAGTAACCGTGCGGGAAGGATGGGCAGGGAGCCCCGAGACGGAGGCTCAGGCAGGGCTCGGTGGAGTCCTGGGAAGTCGCGATAGGTCGCTTGCCTCCCATCGATCCCAAATGCACCTTACAATCTGGTCCTGTGGTCGTGTCCTCGCGTGCGCATCTTCTGCATTCCTCAGAGGCCAACAGCAAAAGACATTGTAAAGACTGCACGACCTCTCAAGCATTTCTTGCAAGGCAGGAAGCTGTACAATCTCATACAGAAAGTGGCACTCGCTCTCGTAGAGATCATTTGCCAGCCGCTCCACAGCAGCACAGAGGCTGTCCGATAGTCGCTGTACACCTTCTCGGACCTGCGAGACCCTAGACACACCCGATGCGAATCATCTGACATCCAAGTACCCCTACCGATGACTCCGACATTCGAGGCCGACGGTCCAAGCGCAGCTTAGGGGCATGCTCCGGCAGGTCCTTCCCAGACTGAGTGCGTGAGGTGGTTGACTACTTCAGCACATTGATCAGAAAACTTGCCTTCAACAGCAAGACAACCTCAGAAGCAGTTGCCATCTTTACGCTCTGGCCGGTCCTCTGCGAGCCGACTTCCATCCTTCCAGGTAGCGTGGCGAGGCTGTCGAACGAGCAGTTTATCACTGCGAGAACGATGCAACCAACGGAATCGAGGTCTGGAGCTGGGAAACACCGCAACATACCACTTATCAACACTTCCACCTCTAAAAGAGCTCTTTGTTTTGTCATTTGTCTCCTCCCCAACGAGGCGCTGCCGACGAAGAGAGGCCACGAAGACCGCCTCCAGGCCGCAGGCTCAACAACCCCGCTTCGAGCCCTCGCTTCGTGTGTTCTTCCCGGACTCTAAACCAACTCGCTCTCAAGGTGCCTCAGATGAAGCCGATGGGTCCTCACATGCGGCCATGCAAGAATCATCAAAAATCTTAGCTGATTCAAGAATTCGCTCTTCAGCACCATGTTCCCGAAGTTCGGGACAGGTGGCTTCTCTGTACGGTCTGGCTGCCGCAAATCATGTTGATTTTCAACCTGCCACATAAGGCCACGTGTCTTGCCACTGTTGGCCGTTCGCCGGCCGCGCAGACTGGCAGGTGGAGTTTTGTGGCACGGCCTGCGGCATGGACGGCGGCGGCTCTCGACCCATGGACCCGACGACTGACGACTGGGGAGCCTCCTGGCGGCCATCATCCTTGTCCTGAGCCACAGCGACTGCAGTGGCCGCCGCACGTGCCGCCGCCTTTCACGAAGACTCCCTAACTTCCTCGAAATCAACTTTCGTGATCACACACTCTTCGCGACCACTCGCCCTGTTTTTTGTTGTCGATCGCGATCCAGAATCCGCAAGCCTCGGCTTCCTCCGCGCGGCGCTGCGCGGTGGCAAGCTGCGCTTCGAGGCTCTCAAGGCCTTGACACTGGGACGACCGCTCGGTGGGCTTTCCGGCTTCTTACGGATGAACTGCACCAGCAGCCCTTCAAATTCGTTGAGCTTGGCAAATCAAAACGAAGCCCGGCGTGTTGAATTCAAAACCTTACGGACTGCGGAAGAGAGAACGATTCCACGCTCCCTGCTGTGCAAGTACCCCTTAGACCAAGGCCTGTGTTAATCTGTGAAGTTGCTGCAGACCCAGGTGCTGTTCTCCAGCTCCCTCCGCTCGCGGGTGCGAGCCTCTTGCTCTGCCGCCAGCCTGCGTCGTGTCGAATTGCGGCATTTACAAGACAATGATGCTTTCAACATTTACGCTGAGTGTGCCAGAATTGGAATCCACAAAGATCCAGACAGGGACTTCCGAAGCCCTGCTTCGAGCTCTGGTGCACTGTGCAAAAGAACTGATGCGGAGGAGGACTGGATTGCTTTGATAGCCTGGCTTGCGGCAGACAAAACTGCATCGCGTTGAGCACAGGCAATTGGACAACTACTGTAAGGCCCCCGAACGGTTTCAGGCTCGAAACCTTCCTGTGAATCTAAGTCTGCCAATCCGGGAACCTTTGTTGCAGCTCTGCTTTGTCAGCCTCCTCTGTCCTTGGATCAAACTTGGCGCATGAGGCATTAAGCAGCTACCCATGCACAGGCGACAAAGCCCGCATCTGTCCAGCAGCTCTTGCGCAAGGCCGCGCTTGATGGAAGAGATTGCCTCGCTAGAAAGTCTGTTTTGTCATTGCTTCTGTCTGGAGCTATGCCCATGCGCAGATTGCAGAGCCCTTAGCGGACAGAAGGGTTGAACGGAAAACCCTCTGAAAGCTGTCTTGGGAGGTTTCTGGCAGGCCTTGCGCCTGGCACGCGCGGCGCTGAGGCCGCCGAGGCCTTCAGCAGCGCAGAACTCCTGGCGGAAGTTGCGAGGTGTCGCAAAAGCGTGACACGGTTCGAAGTTGGCTCCCAACATCTCTGGCGCACAAGGCGCCGCCAGCATTTGCAGCTAGGCCAGTGGTTCTTGGGTGCTCATCCATGCCTGCGCACCTACGGCCTCTTTCCCAAATGGAAGCTGGAGCATGATATTGATGCAGCGACACTTCAGCTGTCCGACTGCTGCATCCCCCGCTTCCGCTGGCCTTTGTCTATGACCAACTCGGGCCCTTGTCCGGGAACTCGCCCCGTTCCCTCGCACCTTCCTCCTTCCTTCCTTTCCTTCCTTCTAGCCTTTGCCAAACACGCACACATGCACACACACACACACACACACTCGCTCAGGCCGGCTAGTCATGCCCCCCGGGCATTTAGCCCTTCTTGCGGACATTTTATGAGGGAGTGAAAAGTCCAGGATGATTTGTCGGCCACAAGGCAGGAGCGGAACTATCTACATGTGATTCTGGCCGACTGTCATCCCCTGGAAACATGCAAACCCTCATCTTTGCTTTGCTCGGGGCAGCCTCATCTCTTCGCTTCACTTCACTCCGGGGTTCAGGGGGCTGTCGAGCCTCATCCCTTTTCAGTGTTTTTCTTTAGCAGGGCTGTGGTGCAGGGTTTTCCCCCTACACCGCGCGCGCTAGCACACGCGACAGGTGCGGGTGCCAAAGAACAAAGCAGACACGCACCAACAAGGCAGTGGTTGCGCAAAATGGACACGAAGAAGCGAACGATAGATGGATTTGTGCAACTCTGCATTGTTGGGCGGCCGTGCCAAAGCGTTCGTAGATGGTGGCTCAAGTCGGGCTAGGTGCAGAACTAAAAGAGAACGACGCAAACTCATCCAACTTGGGCTCTCTCTCTCTCTCTCCCCCTCTCTCCGGGGCATCGGGAGCGTGCCGCGACTACTTTGGCGGAGCCTCCTCCCAGGAGATGGCCGGCTCCCCAACCGCACAAACCGCCTCCTTAGCGATGCCACGCCGAGTCTGATGCAATGCATCGTGACGCCGTGTGACGCTCGGGCGCGCCAACAAGGCCCGGCAAGGATCCGCTGGCTTCCGCTCGCAGGCAAGCAGTGCGTCCAGGCTTTCTATGGCGGGTCCATCCTTGGTGCAGCGATCAAGGGAAAAAGTCTTGATAGGCAGAGGCAAAGGGACGATGACGTGAAATGCATGTGACAGCTTCGTCATTTCGCAGGACATCGCACAACACACCTCTCGACAGCTGCGCCTTCGACGCATGCCGTAGGATGCTGCAAGAATCTTTTGCATCCAGTCTGCAAGATCCTCTGCTGGGAACCTAACGAGGGCTTAGAGCAAACCTTCAAGTCTGCAATGCCACTCATCGGGCAGCAAGAATCTGCAAAGCGATGCCACTCGGAGATGTGCGAATGTCTTGGCAAAAGCTTCTTTGGGCTCTGCCGATACAAGCAACACATGGACCTGTGCCCACTTAAAACTGATCGGATCTAAAGCCGATCACGCTGGCCGACGACCGCGAAATATGCATTGCTCTTGGATCGCATGAAAGTCAATCTTCAATGACCGGCTCGATTTCGATCGGGATGATGGAGGATCGTTCCAGTGCTCGGATCAGCTTGGTGACTTTCGCCTTTCATGGTGCCATGAGGCTCACAAATTGCCAAGTTCTTCCAGCGATCTAATTAAGCTCTGCAACGGGTGTTTCGTTCGCTGCCAAGCAGCATCCATTTGCCTCAGCTCGCTCCGCATGGCCACCTGCTCCATGGCGCGAGCGGGGCCTCGCCAAGAGCTGGCGCATGCTGACGCCGGCGGTGCCGAGCTCAAATTTTCAGAAAAATTAGCCCTGCGAAACCTATGCTTTGTCAAGACCACACTGCTGGCACGGCCGAAGTCTTCAGCCACCCGGGCACGGCCCATCTTTCTACATGTATTGGCCGACGAAGCTACGTTAGACTTTGAAGAAGTGTCCGTGCGTGGGTGTGGGAGGAATGATGTACTTGAATTTCGAAAGTGTTTATTGGTTCAGCCGGCAATAACGACCAAGGGTTGCATGGTATCGAGCGCTGTACAGGCGTCGTTTATCCCAGTGCTCTGGGAATGGTGTACTCCCAGCAACCAAAAAGCCTTTCGCACGGTGCGGGCCCGCCGATCAGCTGCTGCGGACAGCAGCATTCAGTTGGTAAGCCCCTGTGAAGGTGTCTGCGCACGATTGTGTGGAAAGATGCCTCGCTGGAGCCAGCGCAGAACAAACTGTCGGCGGTGCTTTCGCACATGCCAACTCTCAGACAGCTGTCTCCGTTGGGATCGCTCTACCTACCTATACCTATCTATGCTTCTATTTCATCAAATCTGGGCCGACCTAATCTAATCGAATCTGCGAATCTGGTCTACTCTACGCTACTGAAATCTCTAGTCTAACCTGATTGTCTATCTAGCTATCTCACTGGTCTATCTACCTGTGTCTATCTATCTGTCTGTCCATCTATCGTGCGATTTACATCTATTTGAACATCTAAACCTATGTGCTCATCTGCCTGTCGATCCTTTGCATCTTTCCAACCCCCAGTAGTTCATCATCCTGCCTTTGCAGCGTAAGATGCCGTCCACAAACTCTTCATGGGTAATTCTTCCATCGCCGTTGTCCAGGATTCCTAGGTCATGGGACACAACAGGAAACCAAGTCTACATAGCTGCAACCAGAACAAAGAGACCCCAAAGCAGCACCACAGAATCTGGACTGCCATCTCAATTCACCAACGCCTAAGACTTCTAGGCCACCACCACGGCCCCAAAGCTCGGGAGATTCTTGAATCGAAACACGAAACAGCGCAGCACCTTCCAGAACCTCAGCAAACTTGAACTGCGGTATCTGCGCAGAAATCTGACGTCTGCAATCGGTCGGCTTTCGAAGCATAACAAGCATGAACACCGCATCTAAACCAAATGCAGCATCGGAACATCCACATCCAAAGTCTGGAAGTATGCGGCCTCGGTTGAATTCTGGACATGCAATGTCATGCAACGCAGATTTCTCGCAGCCGCCTCCTCTCGCTTTCTGATGCAGAGACCCAGAGCTTGCGCACGAGGGCTCGTACACGGTCTCCAAAAACAAACCAAAGCCGAGGCACTGCTTTCGGTATTGCCAAAATCTCTGCGAGCTGCTTCTCAGTGATTGTGCCATTGTGAGCTGAATCAATAGCTTCGAAAACCTCTGGCAAAATTGTAAGTCTCCCTCCGTCATCAACGCATTACACAAAGCACTACGGCACATGGAAAACAAGCATGTCCAAGCAATCATCTTCGGTCTCCCGTGCGACAACCCTTACTTACATGCCATGTGTTAACTTGCTCAACCTCGGTGGCTACATGCATCTGTGACTTGCAACAAAGCATGTTGCATATACAAACTATATAACCATTTACCCACCTCATGCTAGAACGGATAGTCAGAACAAGTCTGTCGGACTGGATTGGGCGTCCAAGAAGCGTCTTCTAATTTCTCCAAATATTTCGTCTTGTTTCGCAACCGCTCCGTGATCAAGGCTTCCTAGGCGCATCAAGCGGGGGAAATAGAAAGACTCTAGCAATGCAAAGCACAGCATCGAAGTGGTTCGCTTTGTAATGAACGAAACATGGCTCGCCAGAAGCCAGCTTCCACTTCAGCTGAGCATCGTCATCGTTCCGAGCGGCATCAAGTGTGTCACGGAGAAATACGGCCGTTACGACCCGCAGGGCAGCAAACACAATGATTGTGATGTACACGGCAAAAAACAACACAAAGAGCCGGTGCACTTTGTCCATCAGCGGACGTGCATTTGTGGGCCAATTCCCTGCAAATGTGATCCTTAGTTTTGCGCGGAACTTGTGGAAGTTGTCGGTCGCACGGTATAGCCGTAGCCGTGGCCGCTGCAGGCAGCAGCGGAAGTAGTAGCAGTGTAGCAGGAGCAGTAGCAGTAGCAGTAGGGGTGGTAGTAGTAGTAGTAGTAGTAGTAGTAGTAGTAGCAGTAGTAGCAGCAGTAGTAATAGTGGTAGTAGCAGTAGTAGTAGTAGCAGTCGTATATAGTAGTAGTAGTAGTAGTAGTAGTA